TTTTCATGGAAAATTAAGAATAATAATTAAGGCTCAAAAGCTTGCGGCGATTGATTGTAAATTAATAAACGTTATTGGTACACCACGTAGATAGTTCTGAAAATAACTGTTGTTTTTGTTGAGAATGTCTCGAAGCTTCGATTCAGTTGCTTCAGTCGTCATCAGAAGAATTATAGGCCTATCTAAAGAGTCGAAACACAAAAATACTGTTATCATTGGAAAGTGAGGCTTCTGCTTTTTGGTGGAAAATTAACGAAACAATCAAACAACGAAATCGCACTCACAGACTATTCAGTGGTGAGAGGCAAGTAAATCATGGCATTTGAATTCGCGAATCCAGACCTTCCTTGTCCGCCATGACGAATTTCAGGATGAGGAATGAATTAGTAAAAAAATCGAAATCGGGAAGCCACCCGGCTTATCTGCTAAAATGAAAAGGATTTATTGGCCATTGAAAAAAGCTTTTTGAATTGCTTAAAGTATTTTATCAATATAGTCTAGCTTCTGATTAAACAAAGTAAAACAATACAAACTTCCGAAAAATATACAATAGGGCACCGTACTTACAGTAATTGGCCTCTGTGTTCATATATCATAATTTGATTGTTAGTCTATTTCATGTTGATCAATCATAGTTAAAACTGAATTGATAATGACTCATGTAGTTGATAATTTAACTATATAAAAATAAAAAAAAAACACAAGCTCTTCAACCAACGATGCTGCTGTCTCCAAATAAAATTTTAATCTATATTACATCAACTTAGGCCTATTTATATAGGCCTAAATATAGCAAAGGAAAAAAATCATGTAGCCCTAGGCATTTATACGGCTTGGATAATTTTTTGATGTAAATTACTGTTGGAATATTTTCTAGAAATGGTCAATTCAATTAAATAGTAGTCGTAATATTTATGCTGGCGACTAGCGCTCGCTTGTCAGGCATCACCTGTTAGAATACAAGCGTTCATATGACTTTCACTCTGAAACGGGATAGGACAGAGCATGACACAGGATTGGAATTGACATCATCGTCACCTCAATCCGCCAAAACCTTGTTCTCTGGTGTATTCAAGAAAAGTGAAAAATACCGCCGAGAATACAACACTGCCCAATTATCACACTGCCTAGAATCTCAATATTGCACGAGATACTCATTACGCGTGGAAATATGGACCTGAAAGTGCACACTGTAGTGTATACAGGAAATCACACCCTTCAAGGGCCATTAATATTCAACAGAGAAAATGAAGGCATTATTTTAAAGCTGCTGTATTGTTAATTATTATTATTATTATTATTATTATTATTAATATTATTATCATATGTTCCTATTTGAATAATGTTATAGGCTCATCATTTATATAGTTATATATGTTTAAAGTTCTTATCTAGGGATTTTTTTCTAGAGAGTACGGTACTTCTTGTCGAAAGCGCTACATATGGTAATTGAGCAGAACTCGTGGGGAAGGATCAGCTGCTAGAAAGACCACAATTTGAAGATAACAAATCTAGATCGAAGAAGAGTTGAATAGATAAAGTAGACAAAAGAAAGAACTTTGATTTATATATTGTCATCAGTCTTAATGAATTCAGATAGCGTTGTATTCTCAAATCGACGGAAGCTCGAGGGGGTTGAGCAGACATTGATTGTAGAACAATTGCTCATTGATATCTATTCGTCGTAAAACCTAACCAACGATTATCGGCTCTAATCAAGATCTACTGGTCAGATCGAGCTACTTCGACGTCTGATTAGAAAGACTATAGAAACCGAAGATTATTTCGTGAATGACAATCGGTTTTAAATATTATAGATTGCTGAGTGAGAAGGGCATTTGTTTTCGTAAACGATCTATCATGATTATTTTTTTTTTTAAAGTAACGATTAACAACCCAAATCGATGTATATAAGCAAGAAATCCTGTCTTTCATCTGTTTCCGCTAAATAGAAATTTCAGTAAATTAAGGGTCACGGGTTAATGTAAAACAAAACATCCTGGTCAAAGGACTTTTTTAATTAAAATTCAAAGCCTATACATTTGTTTGTAATGGTATTATCGACTTTCTTACAAGTTAAATATTATTTTCAAAAAAATACATATAATTACTGGTTATCCTATCAGTTTTAGCACGTCATTCAGAATTGTATCCTTTAATAAAACAACAAATAATTAATTCATTGAAGGTGGAACTCTCTTGCTTTTTTCAAATTCTACAAATTTTTGCTGGGGTTAAAAAAAAAACAAACATTTATTTACTATGTATGATATCGTGTTGGGATTCAATATTTCGACATTAATTATGTCATCATCAACAATATCATTCCTGATATATGATATTGTTCTGTGAAAACAATTTTCATGAATTGTACAATATTGGATTACGGGAATAAAGTGACTCACTCAGGGGACGGGTCAATCATTTGGTAGGAAGGGTGGAACCGCACAATGAGGGCACCAAAGTTTTTAGACCTAATATCTGTGGAAAAATAGTCAATTTCGACATCAAAACCCAAGGCACAGTACAAGACGTTAATCTATGGGTATCCACTATTTTGCTATCTGCCGTACAGTAGTCGCCTTTCTTTGGACGTCAATCTCGTCCCTCTAAGTTTAATAACTGAAAATGGTACATACGTAAAATAATTATTTTATTTCAAAACCAGTAGGTCTCATAAGTAGGTCTTCATAAGTACTTTCATACGTTTTTCTGATTGACTGGTTCCTAATCTTTTGATATTGTTTTTTTTTTTTTCTTTGATTTTTCTTAATTTCACAAATGGAGGGGTTTTTTTTCTTTGATTTTTCTTAATTTCACAAATGGAGGTTCACATCATTACTGATGATAGTGACATTGTGTTGCAGTGTAATCTTCACAGGAACTTCTCTTTATTTTTTTGTAAATTGTTTTCTTTGTTTTGTTATTGTCTTCCTGAATAAATAATAATAATAATAATAATAATAATAATAATAATAATAATAATAATAATAATAATAATAATAATAATAATAAATTAGCGATAGCATTTAAAGACATTCGAAATTAAAGATTAACAAAATGCTATTTAAAATTAGCCTAATAGGAAATTATAAAAGCTCAATGTGAGATAATACCGTTAAAGAAGGTGGACAATATGTTTGAAGTAAAGCTAGAACATGGAGGTATAAAAATATTTTTATACATCCATGGTAGGCCTACGTAGGAGTAATTACCTGGGAAGCGGAAGTGTGGATGCATTAAGGTAAAAAACGCAACATTCTGTTGGATGTAGATAATCATTGTAACAACATTGATCGATTACTTCAAAGGGCTGAATGACGATGGAGGAAGACAAATGCCAGAAATTACCAGAGTAATATGTGAAGATAGGATAACTAGTAGGCCTATAGATCAAAATCTATCGGGTGAATGACGTCATGAGGAAAATGAGCCAGGCTGCAGTTCGTATGAATTACCAGAGGAACCACTGACTGGTATCAACCTCCTGCTTGTAGTAACGAACAATCACAGCTGGGACAAAATACACGCTTGTAAACTCACGTGTGTTTACCGTACGTTCACGCTGTCGTTTTGTTCGACCTCAGTAAAGTAAAACTTCGCCAGTGGTTCTTAGTGATCAAGTTATTATATTAGATGACCATAAGAAGACTTAATCCAAATGTCAAACGGCTATACCCTATTTCACTATATGAAAAATGTTATTTGAACAATTCTTTTTTGTAAAAGTGAGAAAATACAATTCAAAACGTAATTCTTCAGCCTTAATATAGCTTTCAGTTATGGTCTGAAATTAAACACGACAATATAAATAATATAGATCAGCTAAACTGTAAGCGTAATTTCTTGTGAATAATAGAAGTGGCGTGATAGGATAGCGACTTCAAAACAAAAGACTCCAACCCAACAAGTGAATTATCACACTATTAAATCTGTCGCAGCAGTCTCATACAAAGTGACATCATAATCCATTTTACTTGTTGGCATAATGCTTAAAGATATTTTTTCCTCTTTTTTTAAAGATCTACCGTATATTTATTGAACACAATTTGCATCAGTGACGCACACTACCGACAACACATACGCATCCACGGTTACACACACACACACACACACACACACAAAACGTAAAAGTATAAATAAGAATTTAAGGACTGAAGCTTACAGGTAAGAATTAACATCAATATACCTTAAAGCAATGCAGTACTCAAAACAGCATCAATTAAATTTACAGTGGCCATTAAAAAATATAATAGATCTACTTAGCATTGGGCGGTAAAGCAATTGTATGCTTGTTGAAATGGTAAACAAGTTTTATGAAATTTATATACAGTATATATATCAGTGCTTGCGGTACACCACGGTAGATTTATCTGAAATTTGCTGTTGTTGCCGATCGGTATACTGTAGGCGTTGTGCTCCTCAACTGTGAAATGAGTGCGAGAGTGGGACAGCCATGATGCATTTTAGTGACTTTTAATTATTAGCTCAAACGTTGAATTAGAACACAACAATCGATTTAACTTCCTAATAAGATTAGATACGTTAACAGCGATATATTTTCAAGCGGCACGGCAGTGTATGTAATCTAATTTGGAGGCGGGATTGGCAATCTGGAGGACGCACAGCCTTAGTTGCTGACATACTCCCTTAAATTAATGATCAACAAATCCTTGGATTTAAGTTGTCTTTGGGATTAATATTTTACCAAATTAAGACATACTGCATTAGAGTAGTTTATTGCAATATATTAGGAAAAAGATTAAAATCGGATTATGTGTGGACAGGTACGTTCAAAATTCGTGCCAAATCAATCAAGAAATCAAGAGTATGGATTAAATGTTAAAGGTAAGGCAAACCGCTGTACAAAATTAAATGGCGTATATTATCTAAATGTAAATCATATTCCAACTCTAGCAAACGATGTAACCTTTGTATACAAGAGAAGTATTTTATTATGTCAACCCGAAATTTTTACTCTAAATCAAAGGAACGAATTATTCAGTTCTTGTAGACATAGACGCAAGTTCCTTTTACGATTATAACTTAATCCTATAGGCTTTATCCATCTAAAAAATAGACTTAAGCACTTGGTAATTAGCATACTTTTGTTCTGATAAACTGTCACAATCTATGTACAGGGTACACCTAGAACCCCTCAATTACGGGCCCAGAGCCGTTCGTAATTGCGAGTATTCGTAAAATCGGGGTTGACCCAAAAAATTCCTATATATTTGCACTGGCATAAACTAGGCCTAGGCTAGGCCTACAGGCCTATGCAGCTAAGTCTGAGGGGGCCTAGGCCTAAAGTAGGTAGTTTCTAAGCATTCTGATCCCACTCTGGGCCCTATAAACAAATTTGTTTTTAATCGGACGTTTTTTTACCTAGACTGTGGATTTTACTCCAACACAACTTCCATAGATACTTGTTTATTATATATATTGATCATTCAATAAAACAATCAAGCACTATGTTGACTTTTAAAGCTGAAAACGATGATTAAAAGAGAAGTAAAATTTGTCGCATGCACATGTGTGAAGGCATTATAAACACTGAATTTGAAGAGGGCTGTTTAGAGGGCCTCCTTTACTTGAGAATTACATAGTACTGTATAGTATGGTATGTTGTGTTGTATGCATGCTAATAACAGTTACAATTCGAGCGGATATTTTTTTTTCTTAATTTTTTAAAATTTTTCATTTCACTTTTTATGACGAAATCACCTTGATTTTACGTTCGTGAAATCGGGAATTCGTTAAATCGGGGTTCGTAATTGAGGGTTTCTACTCACTCAGAGCCTAGCACTTGATGACTGAGGCACACCTCATGAAACAGCCTGTAGTGCAATAAAATGTTGAGTCTTTAACC